CACTCACTCACACACACTCACTCACTCACACACACAGTCACTCACTCACACACACACTCACTCACACACACACAGTCACTCACACACACACACACGGGTTAAATGGGTCCAGCAGCACATGGTTTCTGAGCAGTGGGTTATTCCAGAACACTCATGCTCCTGTCAGATATTTCAGGCCGTTGGTGTGAACACGAGAGTGTTTGTGTGGCATGATCTTCACCAGATCTAGTCCAGCTTTATAATTCCAGACTTTATTCCTCTGAATCAGATGAATCCTACAACATGTCCAGGCCATATTTCATAACACATGAACAGAAAGAATTGCAGAAATGTTCATGGTCCTAGAAAAACAGGAAAGGTACTGATCATTTCATGGACATTTCCTTCAACCACTGCAATGCACAACTCTATACAATATGCATAAGTCAGATAAAACATCTGTGTAAAATCAATTCCATATTAACACAATACATTGAGCACTATTTTTCCTGAGTTTTCTTAGTGTGTAGACTTTGCTTTCTTTATAAACTATATAATTTTATTTATTTGAACCATTAATTATGAGCTAAAATATTACCTGAATTTTTTTTTAATAAGAAATATCAGGCTTTAATTTTATAATTTCTATTTTCACTTAAATTTGAGTTAAGTAATTTTGTTGTGTGTTTTTGTTATTTTTATTAGTTTTTAATGTCTACATAATGCATTTATTTATTGTTATTTTGAAATACATGAAAATTAGAAATATTGGTTTGACAATTAGCTGAAATAAATTACTCTTTTTTTTTTATTTTTATTTATTTATTTTTTGGTATGGAAGCCCATTTCTGCCACTGAATAAAAATTTTTTTAAAAAAAGGTAATTGCAATTTTTATCTGAATTCTTCTCTCATAATTGTGAGGTATAAACTTGCAGCTTTTAGGAAAAAAAGTCAGAATTGTGAGAAAAACAGTCGCAATTACCTTTTTTTATTTTTGGTGGAAATTGGCTTTCAGAATTCTGTTGAATTTATATTAAAAAAAAAAAAATGATTTCAGTTTTAGTTAGCTATAATTATCCTGCTGTCTAAATTATTAGTTCATCCAAAAATTAAAATTCGGTCACCTGAACCTGCACGACTGACTTTCTTCTGTGGAACACAAAATAAGATACTTCAACAAATGTTCACGCTGCTCATTAACATACACTGAAGACAAACAGTGAGCAGGACAAAATAGACCGTAAAAGTATCATAAAGTGTCTCTTTTTTTGTGTTCCACTGCAAAAGGAAAGTCCTCCGGGTTTGTAAGAACATGAGGGTGAGTCCGTAATGATTCAGACATCTCTGTCTGCTGTGTTTCAGGCAGACGGTGTCTGGGTGTCCTCCGATGGATGGAGATCAGCGGCCGCTTCCGCTATTACTTCCAGCACCCCTGGTCTCGTCTGCTCGTGGCTTACCTGGTCACCTTCTTCAACTTCCTGATCTTCGCCGAGGACCCGGTGTCTCACAGCCAGACGGAAGCGCACATGACCGTGGTGGGAAACTGCTTCTCGTTCGTGGTCAGTAAATATCCCGGAGGAGGATGGAACGTCCTCAAGGTCCTGATGTGGATCCTCGCCATCATCACGGGCCTCATCGCCGGCAAGTTCCTGTTCCATCGACGCTTGTTCGGTACGTCCGCGATTTTATTGTGATTATTTATTTATTCTTCTCCTCGTCTAGGGGCTCAGATCGATTATTTAATCTCAGACGAAGGGCAGATCATTAAGATAAGGTTTGCAGCACAAGACGTTTCTGACTTGTGTGTCTAGTAAACTAGTATAGTATCCAACTTGATGTTTTATGATTTTATGGTCCCATAAGTCTAATGTAACGTATTGTTTTAAAATAGATATATTAGTTAAGTTATTACAGGCCACTTATATATTTATATAAATATTTAATAAAGGGCAGATAAGATAAGGTTTGCAGCACAAGACGTTTCTGACTTGTGTGTCTAGTAAACTAGTATAGTATCCAACTTGATGTTTTATGATTTTATGGTCCCATAAGTCTAATGTAACGTATTGTTTTAAAATAGATATATATATTAAGTTATTACAGGCCACTTATATATTTATATAAATATTTAATATTTTATTTATATAT